GACTCACATATATTGGGACAGAAAAAATAACACATATTATTTTAATATTATCAAAAACGTATTATAAATAATAATAATCAACAACTTAGGGTTAATTTTGTAATTTTATCCATATCACATAAATTAGGACAAAGTGACCAGCAATGTACATTATTTCAAAGTTACATAAAAATATTATAAATCACAATAATTTATAACTTCAAACATTTAAAAAAATGTATATGAAAATTTGGATGACTCTCCAAATTTCATTTGTGTCACATAAAGTGAGAGAACAAAATAACATATATTGGGTCCATTTTAATTTATTTGTCTTATTTATTTTATTTTATTTATTTAAAAATTGCGTAAAAATACTATAAATAATGATAATTGACAACACAAAAAATTCCACTGATTCTTGAAGTGAATCTATCGTAAAAATACTATAAATCATGATAATTGACAACATAAAATATTTCAAAAATGTTGCATGTGGGTAGTCTTTTTATGCCCTAAATAGCGTCAAAGAAAGTACAGGTTTGTGATAAAAAAAAACTTATTCCTTTATCCACGCAAACAATCGCTTCAAAAACTTGGTTATTAGCCCCAAAACATACCATTTATATTATTGGGCCCGTGCATAGCACGATATGTATCTATCTATATATATATATCTCACAAATGGAAAAGCCCCAATCAAGGAAGCAACATATATCATTTACAAATGACTTAAAAAGCATTAAAAAATTACAATAATTACCAATTTAAAATATTTAAAAGCTATATAATAACATAGGTTGACTCTCAGAATTCTATCAGGCTCACATATATTGGGACAGAAAAAATAACACATATCATTTTAATATTACCAAAAAAGTATTATAAATAATAATAATTAACAACTTAAAATATCTGAAAGTCATTTTAAAAGGGTTAATTCTGTAATTTTTTCCATATCACATAAATTAGGACAAAGTGACCAGTAATGTACATTATTTCAAAGTTACATAAAAATATTATAAATTGCAATAATTAATAACTTCAAACATTTTTTAAAAAAACAAAAATTTGGATGACTCTCCAAATTTCATTTGTGTCACATAAATTGAGACAACAAAAATAAACATATATTGGGTCCATTTTAATTTATTTGTCTTATTTTTTTTAAATTTAAAAATTGCGTAAAAAATACTATAAATCATAATAATTGACAACATAAAATATGTTTTGAAAAAAAATACAAAAATTTCCACTGATTCTTGAAGTGAATCTATCGTAAAAATACTATAAATCATGATTAATTGACAACATAAAATATTTCAAAAATGTTGTATGTGGGTAGTCTTATTATGCCTTAAATAGCGTCAAAGAAAGTACAGATTTGTGATAAAAAAACTTATTCATTTATCCACGCAAACAATCGTTTCAAAAATTCGGTTATTAGCCCCAAAATATATCATTTATATTATTGGGCTCGTGCATAGCACGGACAACATTATCTAGTTATACAAATGTAAGCTAGTACTCTTGTTCTAAATTATGTATCATTTTTTGGTTATTAATAGTTAATGTGAGTAATCTCTAAAGCTAAATTGAATCAGATCAATTTAATATTTTGAAATTTAAAATTAAAATATCTAATTTTTTATAAAAATTCTATAAATTGCAATACTTTTTATATGAAAATGATCAACATACATTTTAAAATATTGACAGAATATGATGAAAATACATTTTAAATGTGACTTAAGAAATATTTATTTTGAATTAAATTGAATTTAAACACCAATCTAGAGATCATCGAAATTCAAGCTTTTTTTTTCCTTCTGGTTATTCTAAAAATCAAAATTTATTTTTTCCCAAAATCCTAATTGGCATTTTTTGTTTTTTACCCATATTGGCATTGGGATTGCAGCAATTACCTTACCTCCCACGTTTTTTCCCCTTTTAGTACCATTTCCCTTTGGCTGCGCTGCACAAATTTGCAGTTCAATTTTCTCTTTCCGTTCAGTTTTCATGGCCGACCTCTGTTTCTTCCTCCCCATTTTCTCTTCCTTTATCTTCCTTCTTCTCTGTAACGGCGTCTCCAGTGACTATCTCCTCGGAATCAACTACGGAACCGTCGCCGATAACCTTCCACCGCCGTCCCAAGTCGCCGCTTTCATCAGAGACCATACCACCCTTAACAAAATCAAGATCTTCGATGCAAACCCAGAAATTATCCGAGCCTTTGCTGATACGGGTGTTTGGGTAACCGTTACGGTACCTAACGGAGACATTTGGTCAGTTTCAAAACCAACTGCTGCACAATGGTGGGTCGAACAAAATGTTGTTCCGTTCTATCCACGCACTAGAATTGATCGCATTTGCATTGGAAATGAAGTTATGGCTACCGGCGACAAAAATCTCATCGCTCATCTAGTCCCCGCCATGCGAGCGATTCATGAAGCTCTGTTAGCAGCTGGAATAAATGATATCCAGGTTTCAACTCCACATTCATTGGGAATCTTGTCCCGTTCTGAACCTCCTAGTTCGGGTCTGTTCAGAAGGGTATACGACCGGGTAATTTTTGCCCCGATGCTGGAATTTCACCGTGAAACCAAATCACCCTTCATGATTTGTCCGTACCCATTCTTTGGGTTCAATGATGAAACCCTAGACTATGCCTTGTTTAAACCCAATAATGGGGTTTACGATGAAGCTACTGGGATGAACTACACCAACATGTTTGATGCACAGCTTGATGCTGTGTATTCAGCGATGAAGGCGTTGGGTTATGCTGACGTGGATATCGTTGTGGCAGAAACTGGGTGGCCTTCCGCCGGTGACCCGAATCAACTAGGTGTGAGTTTGGAGAATGCTATTTCGTACAATGTGAACCTCGTGAAGCATGTAAACTCCGGTGTGGGAACTCCATTGATGCCAAACAGGACCTTTGAAACTTACGTTTTCGCCCTATTCAATGAGGACCTTAAGCCTAGCACTTCGGAGCGTAATTTCGGGTTGTTCCGACCCGACTTCAGCCCTGTTTACGACGTGGGCATTCTGCGTAATACACAGGTAAATTATCGAAAATTTAGATAATCCCCAAGGATAAATTAGTAAAATGCTCTGCTCTTTGGTCAGGAATTATATTCAATGACGAAAATATCCTGTTAGTATATGCCTTGAAAATATATTTTGTTGCTAGTATTAAGGGTATAATTGTCTACACAATAATGATTATTGATCCGAGAAATCTCCCCCGCTTTCTCATAGTTTGATATTTCCAATTCTTGGTTTGTGTTGTAGCCATATGATTTGTACTCTATAAACCTTTATTTTACATTATACTAACATAAAGTGTAATTATTAAAAATATATATATGTAATGTTGCGTTATACTGACTTAAAATTGTGAATTTAGGCTTCGTCTCCGCCTGCTATGGCACCGGAAGTGTCAAAGAAATGGTGTGTTCCAACGACAGATGCTAGTGATGCAGCTTTGCAGTCGAACATAGACTTCGTGTGTAGTTCTGGAATAGATTGTCAACCTATAAAAGATGGTGGCCCTTGCTACGAGCCCAATACGATCAGAGCACACGCTTCTTACGCCATGAATGCTTATTATCAAGCAAATGGTGGTAAAGATTTGGACTGTAGCTTCATTAATACTGGTGTTGTCACTAACTATGATCCTAGTAAGTTTTTCTTGCACAAATTGTCTTTAATAGCCTCATGGTTACGACTATTCAGTTGTGTGATAATTTATGCAGGTTATGAAGAATGTAGATATGATGCTTAAAGTGGCAAATGAGGTTGGCTCTTCCTCTCAAGCGTTGGATCAGAGTACATTTTGGTATAGTCCAATATTGGTTTGTGACGCTGTAACTTGTTGTTATTTTCAAGTCTGAAGAGTTCAATGTTAATTTTGCATATGGATCGATGATATCTCTTTTCCAAACTTGGTGATTCTCAACTTGCAAAGCAATTAGCGTCTTCTGTGTTTTACTTGTTTCAGCGATGGTGCAATAATTTTCCATTAATAAACATGCAATACAATATTGCTTATTCACGAGGTGCATGTTAAAATCTATAGTAACTTTCACATATAGCAAACAAATAAATCATATTTGTATGTTATAGCAAAGTTTGCATAATTGCGCTCCATAGCAAACATATATATGTATAGTTCGCTATACATATACAATTGAAAGCTATGTCTATTTCGTTATTCATATATACAAAAAGAAGCAATTGTATAATTCGTTGACTCCTCTTCAGATTTGTATAATTTCGCTGGCAGATCATTTGTATAAATTGTTGTTAGCCTCTCGTTTGTATAAATCGTTGACAAAAATATTTGTATATAAAAAATCGCTCTCTCTTTCGCTTTATACAAACATAAATTTTACATTATTATAGCAAACACAAAATTCATATTTGTATGTTATAGCAAAGTTTGCATAATTGCGCTCCATAGCAAACATATATATGTATAATTCGCTATACATATACAATTGAAAGCTATGTCTATTTCGTTATTCATATATACAAAAAGAAGCAATTGTATAATTCGTTGACTCCTCTTCAGATTTGTATAATTTCGCTGGCAGATCATTTGTATAAATTGTTGTTAGCCTCTCGTTTGTATAAATCGTTGACAAAAATATTTGTATATAAAAAATCGCTCTCTCTTTCGCTTTATACAAACATAAATTATACATTATATTTGTATAATCTGTGTTTGTATAAAACGAGAAAGAGAGAAAGGCAAAAGAGAACTGGGCAGGAAAATATTTGTATTGTATAATTATAAGTGTATAAGACGAATATATATGTATTTAGCATGTGTATATACAATTTCTTTCGCTTTATACAAACATAAATTTTACATTATATTGTATAATCTGTGTTTGTATAAAACGAGAAAGAAAAAAAGGCAAAAGAGAACTAGGCAGGGGAATATTTTTATTGTATAATTATAAGTGTATAGGACGAATATATATGTATTTGCATGTGTATATACAATTTTATCTCACTTTATACAAACAAAAACGCATTTTATACAATTCTGTTGTATAAAGCGAGAGAGGCGAGCACAGAGGGAGCGAGCAAGAAAAGGAGAGTGGCGAGCGAGAATTTGGAGGGAGAGAGGCGACTGGCAAACATTTGCTACGGGGCGCAATTAAATCAAACAGTAGCTACTCCATTTATTTTAGATTATAAGTTTGTCATTCTATACAATCATCCCTAAAATAAATCTAATGCATTATACATGCTTAAATACACAATAGAGTGAATAAAAGTATACCAAATAAGATACTATTAATATACAAAATTAGTGCAATACATTATTTCTTCTAATATATATACTCTACCAAACGATCCTTTAACACATGAAAATCTATAATATTACTAATAATCAATACACAACTCAATATATATTATAAAGAAATAACATTATTTATGCATAAACTAATTTTAAAAGTGTACCAAACTAAATATTAAGTACCTGTTTGGATGGGCTTTTAAGTTGGTCAAAATGATTCAAAAGTCAGTTTTTGACTTGTGAGAGTGTTTGACAATTATAAGAACAATTTAAAATAAGTTGAAAGTAGGGTGACCCCTACTTTTTATTTTAAATTTAAAAGTCATTCTACTTTGATCAAGTATATTACTTTTTTACCCTTAATTCTTTTAAAAAATTCCAAATTCTTTCATGTGATCTATTCAAATTATATATTTTTGAAATTTAAAATAAGTTGCACATTTAAAATTAACTTAAATATTAAGTTATTGAAATTGAATTAAAATATAAATTAATTTTGTTTTAATTTTTCAATAAAAATCTTAGATTAATCAAATTTTTATTATGTTAACAATTTTAAGGGTATTTCAGATATTTTGATAAAAAAAAGTGTTTAACAACACTTATTTGCTAAACACATCAACAACTTTTTTTCAACTGCAACACTTTTATCCAAACACATAACTATTTATTTTTAAAATAACTTTCAGCACTTTAAAAAATTACTTTTTTAAGCCAATTCAAACGGGCTCTAATAATACAACGTACTAAAAAAAATGTACCAAGCTCATTGCTTTTAGGTGGTTGTCTACTTTGACAATTCTAGAACTAAACTGACCGTCACATTAGCCGTGACAATCATTTTTCATAAATTTCATGCTAAATAATAATAAAGTCAACTAATTATGACGAGAGGGAGTTGCTCGGATGATAAGCATCCCTCACTTTCAACTCGAAGGTTGCGAGGTTCAGTCACCAAGGGAGCAAAAGGGGTGGGGCTCCTAGGGAGGGTAATAAAAAAAAAAAAACTAACTAAAAAAGTCAACTAATTATAGATGTAAAGATATTTTTGGCATTCCAATTGTTTTCTACACGTTAAATTCACTATATATCCTTTCCTTTTCATATTAAGTGGTACTTTTATTTTGTACACGTCCATATATTAAAAAGTTATCATGATACTTTTTAAGAATCGAAATTCTTGATTAATGAAATTCTGATTAATGAAGAAACAATAACATTATTTTTATTCAATAATATATCAAAGTGAATGATTGAAAATAACCTGATAGTAATTCTTACCAAGAAAACTTCTTGCAAGACGTTTTAGTTGCTATGGCATAATATCATTATTTGTATTGACTTTCATGCATCTACAACGTGTAGAAAACGATTGATTCCGGCCGAAACGATATGTCACATCTTATCCTCTTTTATATAGATACTAGTGAAATTGGCTGCGTTTTGTGCGGCTATAAAACTAAGTATATTATTAACTAGTGAAATTGGCCGCGTTTCGCGCGGTTATAAGAAATATTTATTGGATCAGTATCAGATGTATAGACAATATTGATATTTTCTTCATTTGTGATATGATACACTTTTTCATATTTTTTAAACATATAAAATTGAATTTTTTTTACATCTTTTAAGTGTAACTATTCATATGTATATAGTAAAATAAAATATTTATTGTGGTGAAGTAAATGAAAATAAGAGATCATATTTTAAAATAACAATATATTGTATCACATATTTTTTACGATCCTCTATACAAATTCTAATTTCGTAAAAAAACTTTTGAAGTTCTTCGTTGTGTCTTTATTATTAAATTTGTCTATTATAATTTTAAATATTAATTAAATATTTATAAAAATAATGAAAAAAGAAACATGAAAAAGTTATAACAATATTTAAGAATAGAAGTTACAAGTAAAATGAAGAGGCATGAGTTATGAATTTTATTAGACATTAATTGCATTAATAATCATCTATTAATTTTATTTGTAAAAATAAATAATAAATAAATGTGAAAATAAGTGATAGAAATACATAATGAACAAAAAAAATAAAAATAATTGGTGATTGCATAAAAATATAAATACATTTCAAACAAAAAAAATAGTGACGAAAACAGATTGTTACATACAAAAAAAAGACATCATAGAATTAACATTTTATTTTTTAATTATTTTCTTGTAAACATAACAAAAATGAAGTTCACGATCATCATATATTTTTATTTTTTAAAATTAGATAGTTATATTAACTGTGCTTCATAACAAAAAAAAATAGAATAGTAAAGAACCAAATGAGCAGCATTGTCCATACATGTAGTTAATTAAGTTACTTATACAAACTAAAGTTTAAAAAATTATAGCAAAAGTAGCTACCTGACCAATACAAGTCAAAGTAAAATAAAAATATAACAAAAATAATCCTTAATTATGCTTCAAAAAATGTTTTTCTTCTACCATCTTTCTTTGCAAGTAAATCCGCCATCATATTTTGTGCTGCATATGTCAAACTCTTCATCATATGCTACTAATTGAATAAATAAAATATAATTATGAATAAATAAAATATCATACCAATTGAAAGTGATTATAACAAAAGAAAGAAAGAAAGAAATCTAAACTATATGTAATACATCGGTAAATTATTTTTTCAATTGTACAAACAATAAATAATAATCATATCTTAAAATCTAATAAATATTGTAATCAAACTATATTATATTCCGCAAATTGACTATTAAAGAGAACAATCGCATACTAACAACACATTGTTCATTATTACAATTTTTTTTATCATACTTGCTTGGAGAATGATAATACATACATAAATAAAATATTAAGAAAGCATGTCCAAATACATAAAATAAAAAGAGACTTGAGAATGAAATATTGCTTACCTTCCATGTACTTCTTTTTCTTTGCATGTTAGTTAATTCACAAACTAATATGATGAAGAAGAGAAGATATATTCTTAAATGTGAATTTTCATGAAATTAGGCAAAATGTAGAAAATAAAAAGAAAGACTTGGGAATAAAATATTTCTCACCTTTTCATGTATTTCTTTTTTACTACATGTTAGTTAATTCACAAACCAATATCACGAAGAAGGGAAAAAATAATCTTGAATGTGAATATCCATGAAACTAAATATAAGTTTATATAGGCAAAATATAGGAATACCATAAGACATCATAAACTTACAAGTTAATGTTGGAGGTTATGGACATGAAAATAATGAGAGTCTTCAATATTATTAAAAATAAAAATTAAAGAGGTATAGGTCATGGATAATTACTCCTTGTAAATAAATTAAACAATAAAGAAAAAACACTTAAAATATATTATAATTTTATAATTAGAAGTGAGGTTAACAAAGCAAAAAAGAATGTGAAGAGTCGTTGTTATAAATGTTACTCCATTAATAAAATATTTATTTGTAATAAATTAAGTAATTTGATTTTATAATACAATAATTAATTTAAATAAAAAAATGCCAAAAAAGGAGAAAAAAATAATCCAAATGGAGGCTATAGGGAGGTGCCATATCACCTTGTCTATGTTTCTCCTTTATTATATATATATATAGATAGATATAGATTATAGTTAATTAAGATATATATTTTTGCCTTAATTTTTAAGTTAATCATAATAAGTTATATGACGGGGTTATAAATATAGATATAGATTATAAATAATTAAGATATATATTTTAGCCTTAATTTTTGAGTTAATCATGATAAGTTATATGATCGAATTATAAATACTAAATATCAAGTGTGAATTAATATTTAGAGGGGCGACATTGCTTTTAGGTGGTTGGCATACTTTGACATTTCTAGAACTAAACTGTCACATAACAGTAATACTATACAACAATCATTTTTAAAAAAATCAATTCATGCCAAACTAGTAACGTTCTATTTCAGCTAAATAATAGTAAGTCAAATAGTTATAGATGTAGAGATATTTCTCAGCATTTCAATCGTTTTCTACATTCTATTTATCATTTTTCGATAGATATAAATAAGTTATTATAAAACTTATACTTATTATGAGACGGAGAAAGTAATCTTTAGATCATCACGATATTACATAAATTATTAGTCATTGTCCCTTAAAAGTAGCATGTTTGGTTAATCTTCTTCATTTATACATCTAGGTAACACTCTTCATTATTTATGTGAGAAGCATTTTCTTTTATTGACACACTACAAACACGCACCTCATTTTGCACTCATTATCATATCGAATTATCGATGGAATAAAAACAAAGATGTACATTGTGGGAACACATTTCTTGAATTTTTTTTAATATAAAAAACAAATATCTTCAACAACTCATCACCATTAATTTCCTTGTCTTTTAAGACGGCTTAGTTATTTCTTATTTTTTCTTCAAGTATATATGTTTCAAACACGGCGTCACTATAATTAACAGTAGTAATTTTTTTTATTAAAAATATAATACAAACAACAAAGATTTACCAAACATTCTGATACATTACATGATATATTTTTAATATCATCATAAAAATTGTATGTATATTTCTTAAATTAAAATTTCGTGTCAAGTCAAATATAATCTTTCCACATTAGGCTTTTGTCGCTTGTCAACTAAGGAAATAGTTAATTATAATTTATATCCTCTCTACAAGTTGGTCCACTTGGACTGCCAATAATTCAAAGTTTATATATAGTAGTTATAAATAGGGAAAATGCATAAGTAACCCCCGTCTATGTCCAAAATTTCTGAGACACACATAATTTTTACTAAGGTCCTATTACTCTTCCGAACTTAATTTATATATAATTTTCTATCCCTTTTCGGCCTACGTGGCACTATCTTGTGGGCCCAGCGCGTGTTGACAATTTTTTCAAGGATAGTGCCACGTAGGCCGAAAGAGGTAGAAAATTATATATAAAATAAGTTCGGGAGAGTAATAGGACCTTAGTAAAGGTTAGATGTGTCTCAGGGATTTTGGGCATAGGTTGGAGTTACTTATCATTTTCCCTTATAAATACGTAGCCAATTTTGCCGTTATTTGCTCATTTATTATAAGAAAGATCATTACCTCTTTAGAAACCTCGATCAAAATTAAAAAATGAGTTTCATTTTTTTCTTGAAAATGTTAGCTTCTTTCTTTCTCTTTTTGTTCATACTATTTTCTTTCACAAAGAAGAAAAACAAAGGAAAAAAACTCCTTCCAAGTCCAAGAAAATTGCCTATTATAGGAAACCTTCATCAACTTGGAAAATTGCCTCATCGTTCACTTCAAAAACTTTCTAATGAATATGGTGATTTAATTTTCTTGCAATTAGGTTCAATCCCAACTCTCCTTGTCTCCTCCGCCGACGTTGCGAAAGAGATCTTTAGAGTACATGATGTTGCTTTTGCTGGCCGTCCTCCCTTGTATGCTGCAAAAAGACTTAGTTATAATTGTTGTAACGTGTCTTTTGCTCCTTACGGTAAGCTGTTAGAGAAAATACATTTTTATTTACATAATTATATCTTTATGTATGTGCGATCCTGATTCACTTTTTCTTTTATATGGGCAAATTAAATGTTTTTTTTTGACAATTAAGGGCAATAGAGACAGATCTAGAATTTAGAGGTTACGTGTGTTAAACTGGTGTATATGCATTTTCTTCGATATATACATAGGGTATATGGGTTTCTATTGAGGTTTGGGGGTGGTTTGACATTCCTCTTCCTTGAGTAGATATGCCCTTGAGTGGGGGGTGAGATTTTGAAACATGTCAAGTCTACGATTTATCTGATATCATATTGAATCACGTGTTTTTTTTCCCACATAAAAAATAAATGAAGAATATACATTTTGTTGACTTAATTATGTTTTCAACAGGTAATTACTGGAGAGAGGCCCGGAAAATTCTAGCTTTAGAGTTGCTAAGCGCAAAGAGAGTAGAAAGTTTCTCATCAATTCGCGATGAGGAAGTGAGTCGTTTGATTCAAGAAATTGGCAAGTCTTTAAACTCATCTATTAACATAAGTGCATTGGCACTAACCTTGTCAAATAACGTTGTTTGTCGAGTGGCTTTTGGGAAAGGAAGTGATGATGAAAGTGGATATGATAATGGAGGGAAAAAGTTTCATGAAATTCTTTATGACACACAAGAATTGTTGGGTGAGTTTAATGTTGCTGATTATTTTCCAAAAATGGCATGGATTAACAAATTTAATGGGCTAGATGAAAGATTGGAAAAGAATTTTAGAGAATTGGATAAGTATTATGACAAAGTAATAGAAGATCATGTTGATTCAAGAAATTGGATTAAAGAAAAAGATGATGAAGATCTTGTTGATGTATTGCTTCGAATTCAAAAGGATCCAAACCGAGATGTACCTCTTCAAGATAGTCACATCAAGGGCCTTCTTGCGGTAAGTTTGTCTGTTAACTTATATACACCGATACTATATTATATTTGCAAAATAATTGAGTCAATAAGGTAAGATTTAACCCCTTTGTTTCTATTTATTTTAATTGATTTTTTTTTGTCATAAATTTACAAAAAAAAAATGAACAAGATAGTTGGGTAGGCTACTAGACAACCAGTGGTGTAAATGTTTACCAAAACCTAACAAACAAACAAAGATAGTTGGGTTGATTTTTATTATTTTGTTTTATCTTACCATGAAATGATGTAAACTAGCCAATATAACATTACAACTTGAGTCCGGAGCCTAAAGGGCAAAAAAAATTGTCAAAAATTCCAAAAGGGCACATCACTTTTTATTTTAGCCAAAAGGGTAAAATCGCTGCGTCAGCAGCGATTTTTCCTCTGACAAAAATGACGAAATAGCAGCGATTTCGTCTAAAAAGTTTTTTTTTTTGTTTTTAATTAAAAATCGCTGCCACAGCAGCGATTTTGTAAAAAAAAAAAAAATATTTTTTATTAAAAATCAATGCTGTGGCAGCGATTTTGTAAAAAAAAAAAAAATTTAAATTAAAAATCGCTGCGATTTTGTAAAAAAA